GCACGTTGCGCAAACCTCGTACAGGAAGGGGGTCTTTAAATGGGACAAATCAAAAGATGGAAGAAGTATTTGTCCTCTAGGCGTCCGTATAATCTGAAATTTATATGGTTAGAAAGCTCTTTCAAGGGCCTGTATGACTCTATGAAATGGTTGGCAATGGACATTTGGTTAGCGAGCAACACTAGTGCGAAGTCCGGGCAATATTTAGACGAAAAGTCGGCAACAAGTGGGACTGCGGTAAAATTTGCAGAATGCAAATTATCGTGCAATTTTTAATCGATCACTATGCCAATCTTGGATTTCATGTCCTTCGCGACTGCTGCGCGAACTTTGAAAGAGCGAGGCAGAACAGCAGCATCGCCGTACGCGAGGACGCGACGCTTCATAGCGGACATCTCAAACTCCCTGAAAGCCGCGCGCTTCAATTTGCGCGGTTTGGCGGGTAGGGAACCGAAATGGGATCGGGGGGGCGGTCGGGCGGCGCTGGCAGGGTCACCGGCGGTACATGGGGCGCGGCGGGATTGGTTTTCGGGGTTGGGGGAAAAAGGGGGAAAGTTTCGACGGGATTGGAAAGTTTCGGAAATTGGGCGGCGATCGCGATCGGGCGGATGGGCGATGGAAGAGTGCGGAAGGTGCGGGTGTAAGACAGCGGGTGTAAGACAGCGGGATATCATACCTCCCTCTCCCCCACAATTGATGGTCTCGAATTTCCCATATTGGACAGCGGGGACGGTTCTCCGGCGGCGGCCAGTTTTTCGCAAAGTATTTTGGAAATGATAATTTTGGAAATGATAATTTTGAAAATGATAATGTTGCATTTGGGGGGCGATCAGGTGCATTTTTGCAGTGATCAAGAGGTGAAATGGCAAAAGTTGCAGTGAACGAGGGTGACGTTGGTAGGTACAGTATGCAAGAGGCACCCATCCGGTACAGGTAGAGAGGTTTCTGTATTGGGGGGGAAATCGGGCGATCGCGATGGAAGAGTCCGGAAGGCGAAAAAAGAGTGCGGACGAGGGGAGGGGAGGGGACGCGCGCGGCGCGGCGCGGCGGCGCGGCGCGCACGCGTGCCTTGCGTCATGCGCCTTCCACACCACGCCACACCCCGGACCCGCTTCTCGTCCATGCGGAAGGAGACGGACGCTGGCCAACCGAACCCCCCCCCCCCCCCCCATGGCGATACCCCCGGCAAGCGGAACCCCCAACAAAACGTTTATAAAAATTTTACACCTCGCCACCGCTACGCTACGCGCTACTCGGCCCCCGCCTCCCGCCGCTCGCGCTCCAGCTTCTCGCGCGCCTGCCGGATCGGGTTGACCAGTACCTCGATGCGCTCGACCGTCAGCGGGTTGCCCGTCTCGCCCTCGCTCTCCATCTTCTGCAGCACGAACAGCCCGCCCACCACCTTGCCGAACACCGTGTGCGTCCCGTCCAGCTGCCGCGCCGCCGCAAACGTCACGAACCACTGGCTCCGGTTCGTGTCCCGCCCGGCGTTGGCCATCGACACCACCCCCGCCGCGTCGTGCCGCAGGCTCGTCCGGATCTCGTCCTTCACGTACCCGCCCCACGCGCTCACCTCGGCCCCGCCCTTGCCCGACGGGTCCCCCGTCTGCGCCATGTACCCCGCGATCACCGTGTGCCACGCCAGCCCGTCGTAGTACTTGCGCTCGGCCAGCTGTAGAAAGTTGTCGCACGTCTGCGGCGTCTTGTCGCAATGCAGCTCAATGTTCAAATGCCCAATGTTGGTCACCACCCGCACATACCCCTTCCCTTTCCGCCCCTTCCGTATCCGCTTGTAAGCCAGCTTGCGCTCGTCCGCCACCGTCCACCGCCGCCGTCTTCTCTCGCTCACCCCCATCCCACCACCTTGACCCATCCCCGCCGCCGCCGCCGCCGCCGCCGCCCCCATCAACCCCGCGTGGCCCGTCGTCCCACCCCAGCGCCCGCGCCCCTTCTTCACCACCGCCCCGCGCCCACCGACCCCGAGCCGCGCCGTCTGCAGCACCACCCGCCTCTCCGTCACGGGTCCCGCGCCCGCGTGCCCCACATGCGGCTCCAACGGTAA